CTTCCTCCTCTTTAAACAAGGGGATAGACTAAGTGTTCTCTGACACGTTGGGCTGGAGCCTGTGAAGGTTTCCCTGCATCTCTGGCTCTTGGGCTTAATTCAACTCAACACATTTAACAACCTGAAAAAAGAGCATTAAACATAAAAGAAAAAAGGTGGTTTTTATTTATAATTTTATATCATTTTATATTTGTATTATATAATAATAGCTTTTATTTATAATTTTGTTTTATTTTTATATTATTTTATATTTTATATAATAGTTTTTATTTAGAATTTTATTTTATATTATATAACATTGCATATTATTTTTATATTTTTTATTTTATTTATAAAAATGCGACTGTTTTTATCTGAACTCCAATGTGCATATGTGTGTGTGTATCTATAAAACTTTCTATGTATATTGTACTCAGTTTTCTGTGTACATTCCTTACATTCAACAGAATGTAAGCTTCTCGGGAACAGCGTGTTCTCTTTTTGTCTTTATATACCCAAAGTCTGCTTAGCACACAGTAGGCATTCATTTTTGGCAATTCCAAAAAACAAGGCCCGATCAATGAATGAAAGGAAAAAAATTATATGAAATATGTAATTTCCAGAAGGAAGACAATGAAAATTATATGTTATACATTTAGTATTTAATTTTCTGTGTAACAGATAAACAGCTAATCTGATTTAACAGGAAAGGAAAATCAAATTGTTCATGTCAAAAATGAAAAAGGAGAAGTCACAACGAAAGAAAAATAAAAGAAATTATTTGAAACTATTTTGCCCAATTATATGCTAGCAACACTGATAACTTACAGGAAATAGATGAATACATAACAAAACTGATAAGAGAAGAAATGAACAAATACTTACAAAATTACAAGATACTCAAATTTTTAAAAAAAGAAAAAAGATCCTATTTAAATAACCAGCATTAGAAAAAAGAATTTGAACAAGCTATAAATGAACTCCCAAAGGAAAAAAAAAAACTCAAGGACCTGATGTATTTACAAGTGAATTCTACCAGCTATTCAAAGAATAACTGATTCCAATATACACAAACTGTTTGCAATTAAAAAAAAAAAACAAAAGGTACCCTTCTAATCTCTTTCTATGATACAAATATAGTCTTGATACCTAAAGCAGGGAGAAATAAAGGAGAAAAAAAACCACACAACATAAGACTAATATCTCTAATGAACCTTGAAATGTTAAATAAAATTTTGGCAAGTAAGCTCAACAACATAGAAGAAATTTACCCTATGACATGTTGGGTTTGTACCAGAATGCATATAATAAATAATATTATTGATATAAATAATAAAAACCACTTTATTATATCAGCCAAATGCTGAAAAAGCTTTTGACAAAATCCAGCATCTTTTTCTATTAAAAACTCTAGAAAGGGGGCAGCTAGGTGGTACAGTGGATAGAGCACCAGTGCTGGAGTCAGGAGGTCCTGAGTTCAAATGTGACCTCAGACACTTGACACTTACTGTGTGACCCTGAGCAAGTCACTTAACCCCAATTGCCTTGCCAAAAAACAAACAAAAACACTCTAGAAAGCATAGGAATAAATAGACTTTTCCTTAATATAGCAAATAATATCCATCTAAAACCAGCAAAAAATCAATGTTAAGTATCTACTATGTGCCCAGCACTGTACTAAGTGCTAGGAACACAAAAAGAGGCAAAATTCAGTCCCTGCCCACAAGGAGCTTACAATCTAATGGGGGAGACAACATGCAAACAAATCTATACAAGGCAAGCTATGTACAGGATAAACAGGAAATAATTAACAGAGGGAAGGCACTAGAATTAAGAGGGGTTGGGGAAAGCTTCCAGGAAAAGGCAGGATTTTAGTTGAGAATTAAAGGAAACAGGGAAGTCAATAAAATAAAGTCAATAAAAATGATACGTAATGGAGAAAAGTCAGAGACCCTTCCAATAAGATCTGGGGTAAAACAAGTGGGTCTATCAATACCCATCCTCACCCCTACTATTTAACATAGCACTAAAAATGCTAGCTGAAGCAATAAACCAAGAAAGAAAAATTGAGGGAATTAGCAAAGGCAAAGAGGAAATAAAATTATCTCTTTTTACAAATGGTACAATAACTTAGAAAACCCTAAAAGGTTATTTAAAAAATTCAAACAACAAATTCAGCAATGCTTTAGGATGGAAAAAAAAAAAAGCTGATATAAATCATTAGCAATCCTATTTGTTACCAACAAAATCCAACAGAAGGTAGCTAGAAAGAGAAATTCCATTCAAAATAACTATAAAGGCTATAAAATATTTGAGAGTATATCTACGAAGATGCTCCTAGGAATTATATGACTCCAAACATAAAACACTCTTTACAGAAATACAGACCTAAATAACCGGAGAAACATTTGTGGCTCATGAGTAGGTCAAGACAGTATAATAAAAATGACAAAACTGCCTAAATTAATTTATTTATTCACTTTTACACCAATCAAACTACCAACGGGACATTTTGTAGGTCTAACAAAATAATAACAACAGCTAACATTTATATAATGCCCACTATGCCCCAAGTACTGTGCTAAGCGCTTCACAAACAAAATCTCATTTGATCTTCACAAAAACCCAGAAGGAGGTGCTATTATTACCCCCTTTTTACAGGTAAGGAAACTGAGGCAAACAAATTAAGTGACTTGTCCACAGTCACAAAACTAGTAAGTGTCTAAGGCTGGATTTGATCTCAGGTCTTCTTGACTACTACTTAGCTAATATAATAATATAGCTACTATAATAACAAAATTTATAAGGGGGAATGAGGTCAAAAATCTCAAGGGTAGGGGCAGCTAGGTGGTGCAATGGACAGAGCACCGGCCCTGAAGTGAGGAGGACCTGAGTTCAAATCCAGTCTCAGACCAAACACTTAACACTTACTAGCTGTGTGACCCCAGGCAAGTCATTTAACCCCAACTGACAAAAAAGAAAAAAAGAAAAAAAGAATCTCAAGGGTAATCATGAAAAAAAAAGTGGGAAAGAAGTGGGTCTACCAATACCAGACCTCACACTGTACTACAGAGTAGTAATCATTAAAACAATGTGGTATTGGTAAAAAATTAAATTAAATTAAAAATAGGTCTATCAGTGGAACAAATTAGGTATACAACATAAAGAAATGCACAAATATAGTAGCATGGGTTTTGATAAACCCAAGGGAAGGACTAACCTAATTTGACAAAAACTGCCAGGAAAGCTGAACAGCAGTCTGGCAGAAATTAAGTTTAGAACAACACCTGACACCATACAAGAAGGTAAGGTCCAAAAGGAGCTCACCTTCATAGTTATGCACAGTTGTACATAGTTGTTTGCATGCGTCTACCTCATTAGACTGTGAGCCCCTAGAAAGAAGGGACTTTTTTTTTTGTCTTTCTTTGTATCCTCAGTGTTTAACACAATACCTGGTGGCATACGGTGACCAAAAATTGGTTGGACATAAAAAAGTCATTTTCAAAGGAAGAAATCCAAACTGCCAACCAGATGAAAACTAATAATTAAAGACACGCACATTGAAACCACTCTGAGGTTCTACCTCACATCCATCAGATTGGCAAAGACACCCCCCAAAAGGAAAATAACAACTGGGGGGGGCACTAAGGGAAAACAGGAACATTGATGCACTGTTGTTGAAGTTATGAACGGGTCCAGCCATTCTGAAGAGCAACCTGGAACCATGCCCCAAAAGTTACTAAACTTGGCATAGCCCTTGACTCAGGTTTACCTCTACTAGGCATATCCCCTAAGAGATCAAAGAAAGAAGGGGAAAAGGCCTCTTGGTCCTTTTATGGACGACAGATAGATAGACAGATAGATAGATAGATAGATAGATAGATAGATAGATAGATAGATAGATAGATAGATAGATAGATAGATAGAT